GTTATCATTGCTATCTTATTGTGTGAAGTGACTGGAAAGGGTTCTTCGTGTTTTCATGCTTCTTGAAACTCAAAAATTTTAAAATGTAAATAAATGTATTTTAAATAACTTCTATCGTGTTTATCCAGAATTACATCTTTGGGATTTTGATCTTCAGAATTTCAGGCTTTAGGGGTGGTGGTTTTCAGTATTTTGACATTTGCGATTATGTCAGGCATGGCAGCATAGGCCTGTAATCCCAGCTATTTAGGAGGCTGAGGCAGGAGGATTGCAAGTTCAAGGCCACCCTTGGCAATTTAGCAAGACCCTGCCTTAAAATAAAAAAAAAAATTAAAATGGCTTGGAATGTGGCTCCGTGGTTAATTACCCCTGGGTTCAATACCCAGTAACCCCAAAAAAGGTTTATTTGAGATTATGGCATTCAGGATTGTGTCTTTTGAGATTATGACCCAAACCCCAAAGCAGAATAGGCTTCGTTCAACCTTTAGGGAAGACGTACATGTATCTGAAGCCAGGTTGTGGTCACGAGAGCAGGAAGACAGGGGCAGATGTGAAATCCAGGGCTCCTATTGACTAAGATAGAAATTGGACTATGGAAAGAAAACCAGATGAAGGACGGTAGAAGAAAAGTGGATTTGAAAAAGAGTCGAGGGTGACGCTGAGGTTTTGAGTTGCTCCAAGACGAGGGAGAAAAGATTCCAAGGTCGAAGCCACTACCACCCAACCCCCTTTCAGCCAGGACACAGTTCCAGGAAGAGATCTCAGTTTGATGTGAATGGCAGTGACCACTTTCCAACCCAGAAAACTCCCAAGAGTTAACTTCAAGTCACCATGATCAGGCAGGCTGGGCCACCTCCCAAGCCACCCACTTGGGATACTAGAGATTCTCTAAGTCAAGATGACGAGCAGCACAATTCTTTGTGGGGCAAGGAGAAAGATCCCCAGGCCATTTATAAATAAACAGAGATCCTGGGGCATCAGAACACAAGCCAGGAGGTGCCACAGAAAATAAAGGCCACACAGGAACAGACAGAAGTGTGCAGAGAGTGAGAAGGGCACACTCCATCACAGTGTGACAGGTGATCCTTGGGGACTCCCAGATTGTCATTATTGGTTCCATAGAGTGATAAAAAATGCCCACTAGGGTGAACTTCCCAGGTTCCTAGGTAGATACTGAATTCAGTGGAAATAAAAACCTTTAAACTATAATCATACCTCGTGGCCTAGACGTCTGCCTCATAGTACTGGAATTTTCCCCACCCTCCCTTCCATTTATATGAATGAGTGTCAAAAGGCAGCTATGTATGAGGAAATAACTCCTGCTCTCACTGTGGGGATCTGGAAGATGAAATGAAATAAAAGTAAAATGTTACTCGAGGAAGGGCTATATAATTTCATAAATAAATTACAGAGCTTGACATTGATCTGGGATGAAGCTGAGCTTCAGACAGAGGTGAGCAATCCAGCCATATCCGGCAACGCTGCCCATACAACCTGTTTGCTTTAGTCTTTTTTTAAATTAATTGTCTGCCCCAAATCAATAAGACCTGCAGAAAGCGAGTGTACTCTCCTCCTCCTAGCTATCCCAGGGTTCCACTCCCCCTTCAGATCCAGAAATCAAGAGAACAGCAATCCGTCTCCCAGTATCCTCTGGGCTCTCAATGTCTGACTCAAAGCTCCTTCAATTCTCTCAGAAGGACCCTACCTCTTGTTATCACTCCATAAGCTCATGTGAGTTGCCTTAATTTACCCTAGTGAAAGTCAGAATGTAGGAGTGGGTGGAGGATCTGGAAACCTCTCACTCCGAAGCGAGGCTTGAGCAGAGCCATCCCGGGAATAGAGAGTTCACTCCTGGCAGGGAGAGCCCTACTTACCAGGTGAACCACAACCCCTGGCACAGGAGACACTGGCTTCCAGGAGACACTCAATAAATACTTATTGCATTTGTTGAATGGAGAGAGATGGGATGAGGGAGTCAGCCACCTATCCCCATATCCTTCAAATAATCCCTAAACACTCACCCCCAACCACAATCCCACAGAGGGATCCAGTGTTCTCCCAATTCTTTTATGACAAGTCCCAAGAAAATTCCCCACTCCCTGGAATTGCATTCTGACATTTTTGCTTTCAAATCTTAATTCTATTAAAAAAAAAAAAGCAAAAAGCATCTGGATTTCCATAATACTGAGAAAGGAAGGGATCCATTCTTTGCTTTTGTTTTCTAGAAGAAAGGAAGAAAAGTGAGGAGAAGGATTAGTTGGGATTCAGGTATCAAGAAGTGTTAAGGGGTGGAGGGAAGTTGGAGTGTTGATGGGGGTAGTGGAAGGTGAGGCTGATTGTGTGACACCCTCTGCCACAAGATCATCAGGCACCCTGGGTCTGGACCCAGCAAGAGGTAGATGGGTGTATTTCCACCGACTGATAGAATAACTTTGCATATTCAAAACTAAGGGTGGGGCAAGACAAGGGCACAACCCAACAGCCAGTCAACTCTGGGAACTGATGAGAGCCGAGAAGCCAATCACCTTTGGTAACTCCAGGCATCACTAGCTAGTCCAATGGAGGACTGGGTAGAAAGCAAAGGCATGATCAAGGCTACCCTCAACTCATTTCTGACTTTCGGAATCACTTTCCAGCCACCCAGGCCACTGGCTCTAAGGCCGAGCTTCCATTTGGAAAGAGTGAGGAGTGGGAGATGGGTTCTGCTTCTCCTAGAAGCTCTCAGTGAGCAAGTTTTGTTCACTAAGCGTGGCCACAAAGACGTCAACACCTTCCAGACCACAGCTGACCTGTGAGAGCAAAACTCACCTTCCATCCCCACAGGAGGCCTGGACTCCCAACCCTGCATCCGTGGTGGTTATGGGGCCTCTCTTCCCGATGGGATTTGCCTGGTGTCTGTCTTGTAAGAAATCATGCCTGGCGCTCTTAGGCACAAACTGCCCCCACGTGGTTTCCTGCAGAGGGATCCCACCTGTGGAATCAGAATTTCAGAGGACCAGGGGGCCAGGATCCGATGACTTCACTGGGTGTCCGGGTAATTCCCGTGGCACAGGGAGGACCCCCAGACTCCAGAGCTAACCCAGAGAGCCAGGCAAGTAAGGGATAACACCGGTGAAGGAAACAAGTTGGGGCAGAAGAGGAGCCCCTTTACAAGCTGGAAAGCGAGTGTCCCCTGGGAAGTAGCCCTGGTTACCTCCGGTGGTTGCACATGGGAACAGAAGTTCAGTGTTCTCAGATAGGCCTGTATTTCCACAGAGGTGTAAAATCACATGTGAAGAGAAATCTCCTGCTCTTTAAATGTTGGCCACAGCAAAATGCTTTCCATGGACCTAAATGAAATGCAAATGTGATTTGGCTCGTGGGCCTCTGGTTAGCAGTCACGTTTGAAAACCACTGGTTTAGGATCCATGTGAGAGTCACTAAGCTTTGGGGGTCCTTACAGATCCTCAGATAGGAGTAGATTTGAGGCTTCCAGTTCCTTCCCCCAAGTTTCCAAAATCCACAGGAGGAACAAAACTCCTATAATTCCAGAATAGGATCCCTCACACCTGAAACCTATATTTGAGAAGCAGAAAAAGAAAAAGGCAGGGTGGGGGCGGGGTAGAGGTGGGAGTGGGGGTGGGGGACTCTGTAATTCTTAAATTTCTCCCTGCAGTGGCTCTTACAGCCATGAACAAAATCCTCCAACAGTGTTTCTGTGGTCAATCACTGGTTCCAGTTCTAGCAGGAGCTGCTGAGCACCACGGCCTGAGTATTACCCCTTCCCATGAAGAGGAGGCAAGGACATCCACCATCTCACGGTTCCCTCCATCTTTCCCTCACAGCTCCGGAGAGCCACAGCTGGGCACAAGCCCTATAAAGAGATTTGAGGACAAAAGGAAGAAGCAAGGGAAACCCACTGTACGGACTAGCTCAGGGTGGGCTTGGTCTGCTCACGCTTTGCCAGTCTTAGTGGATTCAGTGTGCTCTCCTGCAGGGCGATTGGAGCCGAAAGCAAAAAGAATTCAAAGCACAGGCAAAAATTTTAAAAGTCCAAAGAAAGTTGAATTCTGGTCAGAGCCATTTGTAAGAATATATCCAGAATGTGGTACCAGTGGGCCAATAAGGACGGCCATTACTCCCCAACCGAACACTCATTTAGACTCAAGAACAGAAGGGGACAGACGCTGAGCATCCCTTGAGTACAAACCTTCTTTTAATGATACCCTGGAGAGCGGAGGAGAGAAGAAACACCGTTAATGTAAATGACTAAAACAAACTCCACACCAGTGAACAGAGATCTTGCCCTGGGCTTCTGAAACTATCATCAGATCCACCTTACACCCCTTTCAAGAAGGCTCCCCACCCCCACCCCGACTCCCAGCACCGTTGGAGATTCTGAATCAGACAGTCCGAAAAAAATCAATGATTTTTCAAAAGTTCCTCAGGTGAATCCTAGAAGAAACAGGGCTTGGGGAATCATGGGACCAAACCCGTGAAATTCACAAAATGAAAGCAGGCAAGTCAAATGCCCAAGTAGCCCATCTGGTTTCACTCTTTAAGGAAAGGAAGCCCAAAAGGATGGCAATTTGTTACAAGTGGCCTGAAAAGTACATTTATTTTTTTAAATACTTCCTCTCCTTGCAACAGTAAACTGAATTTCAGCAGGCTAGCTCCATGGTGAGACTTCTCCTGATTCCATTCACAGAATTTAAAGTGGAAAGACTTTTCCAAAAGAGAGGTATACAAGGCCACGCTCCTCCTCGATGGTGCTTGCACTGGTGCAAATGTTAGTGCTGAGAATTTTATATACCCGTAACCTCTCTCTCAACCTGTAAGGAAGGTGCAGCCTTTTTAAAGGGGAAGAATTAGCTTTGGGGAGATATGAAAAACTTCCCTAGCTAGGAAGTGGAGAGATGCAAATTTAATCTACATCTGAGCCCAGTCTTTACCTAGAGCCAACAGTATGTTGCTTTCTGGAACCTTCCCATGCCTACATCTTTGAGCATCCCTTAACATACATCCTCTCTATGCCAATCTTGTTCCCTCGGTTCCTCTGGCGGGGCACTCCTGATTGGGGAACCAGCAGGGGACAGAAGCCAAGTGGGAGACTGGGAGATGTTTGCAATTTCCTCCGGGGATCTCCTGGTGAGGGGCAGCACTGAACCAGGGGTTCTGACTCACATGTCTACAATGCAGAAGTGAAGAACAGACGGTGAAACAGCAAGACAAGCCAGAAGCACCGAGGAGACAGGGGACAGTTAAAACCACCCAGACCCCAGAGACACAGCCACCAGGATTGTTGGTCGCCTACATTTCTACTCTTGGGGCTGCTGTACACTTCAGTGTAAGCAGCAGCTGGTAAAAGACCCTGGAGATGACAAGCAAGTAGAGAGCACCTCTCTTTGCAGCCACTACTACAGAGCCCAAGATCACCATGACCAAATTAGGACAGAAAGCCTGCATTGACGCACACACGGCCCCGGGGAGTCTGAGTGCGAGCGGATCCAATGCTGTTGAACAAAACGTGAAACCAAAGAAAACACCCAGCCACACAGAGCCCTTTGAATTGATGGCTTTGCTCCAGGGCCCTGAGTGGGGAGAGAGAGAAGAGAGACAAAGCCCGGCTTTGGTAAGTCTCAAAAGAGTTTCTAGGAATGCCATGCCCCAAATCCGGTGGGGTTGGGGAAGGGTCTGGGGAGTCCTGGTTGTTGAACTGGGCTTAGTTATCCTAGTAGGAAGTGGAGCTCCACGCTCACCCAGTCCTCGTCTTTAATCAAGTTAAATCCTAATGCAAAATTAATTCAGAGTAGAATTTAATTCTAATTGCAAGATGACAGAGAAAGAATTTTTATGATAAGCAGATGAGCCTAGGGCAATTTCAAGTGCAAGGGAGGTTTTTATTTATGTGTTGTTATTGTTTTATGTCCCGTCAATTCGCAGGCATTTTGGGGGTGTTTTGTTTTGTTTTTCGAGGAGAGAGCCCAAGGGGGGGGCTCATATATGGAAATAGACAATCATGGCAAGAGGATAACAGTGCAAGTCCTGCAGCTGAAAGGCTGCCAGGTGCTCTGGGCTCCCGGTGTCAATCACCCATCTCAGAGAAGATGTCTCACTGCGATCCCGCCGAACACCAAGACTAAGAGTTCCATTATTACACTTCGTAGTAAATACCCAACACTCTCTGGAGCTAGAAATGGGAAACAAATCATAGATCGGTTCTTTCCTAATCTGCATGAATAAAATGCACCCCATCTAAAACCTGAAATCCCAGGGAGCCTCATCTCCTCTTAAGACAAAATACTTATCAACTACTCACACCCTTTCAGGTCTCCTGGGCAGAACCACCAGTGACTCTGAACTTGACTACACACGAGAACCACCCAGGGAACATTGTAAAATCCTAGGTCCACCACAGAGACTCTGCCACATTTGGACTTCCCCTAAAATTTTTGAAACTTAGAACTACAGATCCTGAAAAAATCCTCAAAGCAAGTGAATTCTAAAATACTCCTGGAAGCCGATTTCCCTGATGTGAGGAGGACATTTACTTGACCCTCCACCTGCTTTGGAATTCTGGAAAACAGGAACATATATTGACTGCAGAAATGGGTCCTTAGCACTCACATAAATTGTTATTTGGATTAAGTTACTGCTGCATCTTTAATATTCTCTTGAGGTCAGTTGGTTGGTTGGTTTGGAGAGCAGTGGGGGCTGGGAATTCTTTTTTCTTAAAATGATTTTAGAATGCTCAGCTAATTTTTGCAAAGAGGCACATGAGTCACAGTTTGCACATTCTATAGAGAAAGGAGAAGACAAAAAAATTAGGCAGACAGGGGAGGGGAAGCTGAGCCCAAGACCTGGGTACAGCTCAGAGCACTGGACAGACCTTGGGAAATACACCACGATGGACTACTTTGTTCCACTGTTTGTGCCCTTTGGTGCCGTTAACAATATTCGCTCTTGGACCCCAGAAGAAGGATTCCCGAGGAGGGAGTGGACATTCCCAAAGAAGAAAGTGAGGGCTGGAATGAGGGTCTCCAGCTGCAGCTCAGTGTCCCCGCCACAGCATGAGGAGCCCACCCGTCCTCTAGCAGACAGGAAGCCAGGAGGCGCCTTTAGGCCCCATTATGAGGCACACTCTTGAGGACGGGTCTAAAGCTGGAAGACAATCAGTACACACTTACAGGAGATTCGACTGCAGCTCAACTGGTTTTTAAAAATCATGTACTTTAAGATTTTACTAAAATATGATTTAGTTTTGTATTTGCAAAGCACTGAGGTCTGCTATACACAATGACCTTACCTGCCCTCCTCTCCCTAGAGGATTCTGTCTGCGAGACTCACTGGGAAGAGGAAGAGGACAGTCCAGCCCTCTGCCTGCTGATGACCTTCCAAATCACCTTGGCACTGTGCTGCTGTCACCCATGCCACTGGGCTGCATAGACCACATCTCTGACTACAGCTCCTCATCCCATCCCTAGTCTGGACCTCAGTCATTCTGTCTCCCTCTGATCCCCAGGCCACTCACATAGTCACATCTTGTACATCTTCCTGCAGCGTCCCACAGGCACCTCCAACTCAGCTTGTCAAAAATGCGCCACATTGCTGTTTCTGCACCTGTCTCTTCTCCTACCTTCCCTCCCTTTGTTGCAGCACAGCCACTTGCTGGTCCTCGGTGCTTCTCAGCTGCCTTGTCTGATTACCATCAAGGCCCTGGACCACTCTCCCTGCCTCCCATCCCCTCTCTCAGCCCCAAACCTCAACACCTCTTCCCTGGACCAAAGTGATTTAACAGACTCCCTACTCCAAGGTCACCACCTCTACACCATCCACCACAGCACCATGATGATGACATTTCTAAGAATTAATCAAGTCAAGTCACCTTCCTTCTCAACCCTTCCCGCCGCTGCTCACACCCTGCAGCACCCAGAAGTCTAAATCCATCTGTGTTTTGACTTCTTCCTCTCCTCCATCCCCTGCTTCTCCCACTCCCTGCTCCAGGAGGACGTTCACACTATACATTCTTCCACGTTTCTCCATGCTCATATAATCGAACTCACACAGTCATTTACACATGTTCTCTCCCTCCACAACCCCTCACTGAAATCCCCCAGTTACTGGGTTTAGGTGTGAGTTTATTTGGGGATGGTTGTTGATATTCCCTGGTGCGGATCTAGCATAATTTCTTGAGCCGTCCTCCGATTTATGAGCATTTTCTTTAGTTTCCTCCCACTGCTTTTGGCACAAAGATTGATGCCATTATAATCATTCTTGTACAAACATCTTTAGTGTTCTGTTCTTCCCATGAGCTGTATTCCCAGGAGCAGGAATTGTTTCATGTTTCATTGGATGCAGCCACAGTGTGCATTGTGTAGCCTTCTTCATAGAAGCTGGACTGACCTCTAACACAAATAGTGCCACCAACATTCCTAAGTGGCTTTAACTGGACAGTGGTCTAGGAATCCTCCCTGTTACTAGGCAGCCAGCATGGACACAATATGGCCTTGGAGTGAAACAAGGAATGCCAGAACTACAATTGGCTTGGGGGAAAGTAAAAGGGAAAGTCACTGGGGGAAAGCAGAGGGAGGGACCTATGTATTACAGTGGTGCCCTTGGCCAAGACTCCTCACGGAACTCATCTCTTCCCAAACCAATGCATCCCACGAAAGCACGGTCCTGAGCAGCTCCCAGCATCCCATACACATGACTCTGCTCCCTATTCCAGGAGCCGAGCACTTTGGCCATCCAATGGGAATATAATCCCCCAAGACTTTTGAAACATGAATCTACTCTTTTGGGTGGAATTTTGTAAATTTTTCTTCTACTTGTTTTATTATTTTTTTTCTTTTTTCAGTTTACTACTCCTCTTTGTTGTCCATTAAGTTTATAAAATGACCTTCTAAGAAGAGTCTACCCTGTTGGAAAGTATATAGTATTGCCCCCTCAGTTACTCCTGGCTTGGCAGTGTCCTGAAGACTCTCTCAGACCTGTTCAGTCTCTGGGATGGTCTACAGCTGCACTGGGCTCCTGTACTTTGAGGCTCACAGTGTCCAGTTCCAGCACTGCTGGACTTGGAGACAGTGATCCTGGTCCAGGTCCTATTCCAGGCCCATATACCACCCCTATAACTTCCTTCACATATAATAGCCCTTTCTATCCTCTATCCAAACATATTAAATAGAAAATTCAAATATATATAAACAAAAAAATTACATGTTGTTCTGAGTAGTATGATGAAATTTCACACTGTCTCACACCATGTCACCTAGGTTGTGAATCATCCCTTTGTCCAGTGTATCCACACTGTATATGCCACCTGCTCATTAGTCATTTACTAGCCAACTCAGTTATTATCAGAATGACTGTCACAATATTAACAATGCTCATATATGAGGTTCAGACTACCCACAGTTTCAAGTATCTACCAGGGGTCTTGGAATTTTATCCCCAGAGAACTGGGGGAGATGACTATATTTTCTCTTTTCTCCATTCCTGACCAGATGTAGAAGAACCATTAGAGAATGGAGAGCCCTAGAAATGATGGAGCCACCGGATGGAAGAAACCTGTATTCCTGAACAACTTCATGGGGCAACCCCCTGCCCCCCCCCCCCGCAAATTGGCCTGCAAAGTATTTACCCACTGAGAGTTGGTGGCTGTTTGTTCCAGAATTAGCATTCCCTGATTAACACTAAGCAACCCAAGATCAAAAGAGCAAGCCTGTAAGAATACCATAATGCTCATCCAATCTCAGACTTTTCCCTACAAAATGCCTGATGGCCCTAGAGCCCAAGTAGAATGTACCTCCAGGATTACTGCCTCAGGTCCAGGAAGCTCCCATCTACAATTAGAAACGTCTGTAAAAAAAAAAAAAAAAAACTGTGTCCAGCCAGCCCTGCACCATCTCTGCCATCCCATATTTTCTCTACTCGAATCATGGAGTGTCTATGATCACAGAAGGAAAATGAAATATGATTCGAGGTGTCACCTTTCAAAGGGTGTTAGTGACTGTCAGCTAAAGTGATTCAAGCCCCGGAAAAACCCCTGTGTCCTCTTAACATCCAAAACGAATCCTCTTCACACCAGACATCAATGTTAAATAAACAGAGATTTCCATTAACCTGCACCTCTGTACATTTATGTTTAAAAAGCGGTGTCACTCTCCTTTAAATGAACATACTAATTAGTGTATTAATAAATAGCTGAATGGAATCAATGAGACATGTAATCAAGGTCTGACCGGGAGTCGGGGCCAGGTTGAAGGGGGTGGGGGAAGGAAAGGAGAGGAGAGAAAAGAATCTTATTAGCAGGTTTGCTGAGGAGGGACACGTAAAATCAATGCCTCACATGCAGCCAAGATGTGGCCAAAGTTGACAGTATGTGGAAAGCTAAGTGGTGGCCCGCCTCCCCCTTTTGACAGGAAAGCTCCCATTGAGAGTTAATGTGAGGAACAGGGAGGATGTTAATTGGGGCTGGAAAAGCCATTCTGAGATGATGTCCCAGATCACAGAACTTCTGTGCTGGAGACCTAACTCCTAGACCTTTATTTAAAATACTGAAAAAGAGCAAGCTGAGGAAAACTGATTTAGTTCTCTGCAAACGTTCACTCTCAAAAAAAAAACCAAAACCTGTTTCTTTAGGGCTCTTTGTTAGTTTACTCCACTCCAAAAATATTGGCTCACAAGGAAGTACTTCTGTCCCTGCATGCAGGGCACTGGGAGGTTAAGGGGTGACCCTCTGGAAGCAGCATTAGGGAGGGGAGAGGTGCTTTACTTCCAACAGCAGCTCACAATTTCCTGCAGCACACCTCAGAGCAGGAATGTTCTAGAAGGTGAGAAAAGGAAATTCTTTTGCAGGTATGAGGTTTCCAGCTGACGTGGGGATCTGATTACCTAGACTCTTGCTGCTGGAACTCAGGTGAGCACAGAGGCTACATTTCCTCCATCCGGAGACACAACTCTTCGGCCTGCAATCCCCAAATAAAAGAAGCTTAGGTTTCCAGTTATTTCCCTGGATATGAACATAGGAGAAACACCCTCCTGCAGAGTCAGTCGGGTGCCTGGACCCCTCCCCTGCAGTTAGCTAAGGGATGCTGGCTGAGGGGGACACTGCGTTAGACTGAAAGGGACTCAAAAAAGAAATCTTGTCCTGGGCCCAGCACTGCCCACCTCGTGCCCTCCAGGATGGGCTCCTTCGCCCTGGAAAGACTGCAGCGGGGCCCCACATCATGAAAATGAGGCTCGTCCTGCTGCTGGTTGCTGGAGAAGTCAGTCTGGGTGAACTTCCCAAGCAGAAAGCCTGATGCTCGCTGCTCCAGCTGACTCTCTCTGGCACCCTCATCCACACACGCAGGATCTACTACATCCCGAGGCTGACTTCTGCCAGCACCAGGTGTGGCCTGTGACCCTGAGGGCCACATTTCCTGGAATGACAGTAAGAACACATTAAAAGAAATGTGCCGATGTAGGGGGAGGCAGCACTCAGCCGCCCCTGAGCTATTTTCCACATTACTGCTAATAGTGTGTGGTCCCAGGAGGCTCGTAGCGCTGCTGGACATCTCCAGGTCCCCCAGACCTGCCCAGACCCATCAGAAAAGCCAAAGGGTGACATCCATCAGCTCAGGAGCAGGACTTCCTGACAGGATCCACACAAATGAAGTGCAGAAGGAAGGGCCAGACCCAGCTGTCCCTTAGACAGTCTGAAACAGACACATGGAGCAGAAAAGGAGAGGAAGGAGGAAAGGGTACCAACCGCAAGGTCCCCACTGATGTACCTGGATATTTAGTGTGACTTAGGGAATGCTGTGCCTTCTTTTCAACCAGATCTTGGTGGGCAGAAGGCATCTTGGTGGAAGAAGAAGGCAACATTCTCCTGAGCAAAGAGATGTAACAAGGCTTGGCCAAGGGACAAGGGCAGGATGTCAGCTCTTACTTGCCCCTGGGTCACTGGTTTGCCAACCAGAGTATAGAGCACTGGAGGTTCTGTCTAAAGAAAGAAGGACAGAGGTAGAAAGGAGACATCTAAAGTAGTTCTTACAGCAAAATTTAACTACCTCTCAGTTTTTTTTCCAAATGGACTCATTTGAATAGAGATTTTATATATATATATAGGCATTGACGTAGACAAAAGTACAGATACGATGACTATTTTCAAACCAAAATATCAGGACACGTACTCCAGGAATGGCGTGGAATATCCGGGACGGGGGCTTTCCTAGGGTGTACTGGGCCTGTGATCACTCCAGATGTGAGGGAGAGTAGAGTGGCTGGCAAGGATCCCAGGGAGAGGCAGTGAGCCAGTGAGATGCCTCCATTCCTTTGGAGACAGAGAGGACCGTCTTACTCCAGGCTGGCTGACTCTGTTCACAGAGGCTCCATCATCTTCAAAATATTCAAAGCTCCCAGCCTTTGTTCCCTCTCCACCGTGGCTAGTCACCTTTCTCGATAGTCAACCAATGGTTCCTTCCTCTCTTAACCAGAATGTTGCTGGAATAACGCAATATTTCAAGCTTAATAGCTTGTCCTCATGCAGAGATTTCACCGATTTCAGAGCTGAGGTCCCTGGAAAAATGGAGCATGCTCTGAAAACCAGGGTGTCTCGGGGCAAAGGATTCTGATTGGACAGCAGGACACACAGTGAAGACCAAGAAGACAAATCTCAGAGGCCCTTACCATGTAGTTTGGGTCTAACTTGCCAGGCAATCAGGGCCTGGGGCTGGAGACCCTGGATCCAACTCCTCTACACCCCCTGTTGGATGCAGGTGAGCATCTCCAAGTATGTGGACGCTGGGCACATTGAACACACCCCTCCGGTCTCTGCTGGACCCCTTCCGCTTTATAACTCTGTTACAGGCACACATTAGCAGATGTCTCATCCTGCAATGCTTGGCAAAAAGATCAGGTAGACTCCAAGCAATAATTACCCATTCGTTATGAGCCAAGAGTCTCCTATCTGCTCTGTCCTAAACCAGATTTAGTCTTGAGTGGCAAAACTGAAGAAAAAAAGGAACCAGATCATGGCCTGGAAAGAAAAACACATTATCTAAGATGTCTCTCCCAGTCCTATAAAAATAATGTACATCTACATGTGTGCACTGACAAACGGACAGGGGAACTGAGCACAGATTGGATATGTAAACATGGCTGCTAAATCTGGACTCGTCTTCCAAAAGTGAAGGAATTCCTGTAAATATTTTTAAATCTTTTTTAAGAGGTCATTCTGAGAGGGAGAGCCAGGATTGATGTAATGGGAGTAGCCACCTGCTCTTCCTCTCTTCCCATTTGCTGGTAGAGCCTCAAGGCAGTAGGCTCGCTAGAGCCCAGTGTTAGAAACAGATGTGACTATTTATAAACCCAGAAAACTGAAGTGTCTTAATCCAAGGCAGGGGGGTGAGAAGAAGAACTAACAAGGTTTAGAAACCTACAGAGCAGGGAATATATTCCCACAATATAATGCCTCCACTGATGAAGCATTTAATATGTGCCAGCAGCGTACGAACTAGTTCCCGTGTATTATATCTTTTAATTGTCACAGTAGTCCTTAAGTTTATTTTACCCTCTTAGTGATAAAGAAACAATATCATGGTCATGGTCACAGAGTTAAAGGACTAACACTTGATGATATCTGTACGTTACCATAGCGCCCTCCTTATTCACAGGTGTTACCTTTAGAGACCCCAAGTAGATGCTTGAAACTGCATATTGTTCTGATCCCAACATATACTATGTTTATTCCTATACAAATAGACCTATGATAAAGTTTAATTTAAAAACTGGGCATAGCCAGGCACAGTGGCACATGCCTGTAAATCCCTGCTGGGATTAATCCCAAGCTCAGGAGGCTGAGGTAGGAGTATCACAAGTTCAAAGCCAGCCTCAGCAACTTAGCAAGGTGCTAAGCAACTCAGTGAGATCGTGTCTCTAAATGAAATACAAAAAGGGGCTTGGGATGTGGCTTAGTAGTTAAGGTTTATGAAAATAAAAATTAGGCACAGTAAGAGATTAAATATAATTATTGATAATAAGATAGAATAAGTATAATGAGATACTGTAGTAAAAATAGTATAAATGTGGAAATGTGTGTGTGTTCTCTCTCTTAAAATCTTTACGTACTGTTCTCATTCTTCTTCTTGCGATGACATGAGATGATACAATGCCTATACAATAAGATGAAGTGAGGCAAATGTTGTAAGCATTACAACATGGCATTAGGCTACCACATAAGAATTACTTACACACAAGCACTACAATACCATAACCATCAATCTGATAAATGAGATGGCTGCTAAGTGATTAATGGGCAGGTAGCATATACACTGTGGCTACTATGGGCCATCCAGGAGGTCATGAGATTTCATCATGCTACTCAGAATGGGGCACAATTTTAAACTTTTGAATCATTTATTTCTGTAATTTTCCATTTAAAATTTTTTTTGGATGACCACTGATTTACAAGTAACAGAAACAGTAAAAAGTGAAACTGTGGATAAGGGGGATCACTACTATACTTAAAAATTACTACATTGTGACATGATAAGTTAGTTTTAATCCACACCCAAGGATGTTGTAATGAGAAATGAATACCCCAGCCAGGTGTGGTGGCACGTGCCTATAATCCCTGCAATGCAGGAGGCTGAGGCAAGAGGATCACAACTTTGAGGTCATCCTGAGCAACTTAGTGAGACCCTGTCTCAAAATAAAAAATGAAAAGAACTGGGAATGTGGCTAAGTGGTAAAGTGCCCTTGGGTCCAATGCCCAGTACCATATGCACACACACAAATTAAAAAAAAAAATAAGAAAAGAAAGAAAGAGATACCCAAGGAGGTAAGTTGGCTTTTGAAAGTGTTCCTTCGGCATCTACTCTGTTTTAACCACATTTTCCCCAAAAGGCACTACTGGGTTTGTTAAAGAGCATAAGAGAGGCTAGCAATAATTTTCACTGGAAGTTAAATGGTGCCAAAGACAAATGATTGTTTAGAAATACTGCCCTGGAATCTCTGCCTATGGACACGAGAATCTGGCAAACCCAGAGCCTATTGGGGCTCCGATTTTACCTAGGGTTCTATTAGTTCTGGGTTCTAGCTCTCAAAGTCCTCTGCCCTCTGATCCTAGTAGAAGGAG